CGTATATCGTTTATATGCTAAAGACATATGTATATCGTTTATTTCTTCAAAATTTGTCATTAAATTTCTATTATTTCAGAAATGAGTTGTAGCTGCAGTATCTATGACCCAATTAAATTTATCTGCATTACCTCCTTTATCTGTAGTTGTTACATAATTTTCTACTAACTTTAATTCTTTATCTTTAAACTGTCCGTTTTTATCGTCTATTTTAAACTTCTGATTTTTACTTACATTTTCTTTACATTGAGCGATTAAGTGCCCAAATTTATGACATCTGAAACAAGGTCCTATTCTCATATTCCCCATTTTTTCTTAGATTTAGTTTTTATTTCAACTTTCTTTCCCTGCATTTGAAACTCAATAGTATTAAACACGCTTACCTTGCTGTCTTCTAAATCGGCGTTTACCCTGGCGAAGTCGGCTTTCTTCCCTTACCAGCTCTTCAGCAATTCTTTTCCAGCGTAAAATCTTCGTCCTTCCACCTATAGATCAACTGTACAATGCCGGAGTATTCCTGGGGTAATCTCCTTATTGCCTGGAATCCTTTAAAAAGATCTGCCAAGTTGTGACCAGCTTCAGCCAACTTCTTTGCAGTCATTCTTTATCCTCGCGATGAATAATCCTATTTCTTCATTTGGCGTATATCTAATACTAAAAAATTCATCCAGTAACTGAATTATTCCTTGCTCTTTGTTTTGGGTTCGAATTGCTTCTGTAGAACTTCCCATGCTTCTTTTTACCACTTGAACATTCTTGTATCAGCGGCCTGAACTCAGCTTTTAATTCCATAATATAATGTAGTGAAGGCTCTGTTCTCTCTCAGTGTGAACTCCTGCTTTTCACGCCTTGTTGCACTTTTATCTAATTCTTCTTTGTCCTCTATGAAGCTCCAACAATTTCTATCCAGTAACAGCATTTTCATGTCGACTTTCCATCGATCCCAGTTGTCATGGTTTAACAACTCAAAACCTTCAGGTAGTAATGACATCTTGAATGAAGTGTGAGCACAACGACTTGAAAAACTTCTAAGACAGGTCAGCTTCTTTTCGTGGATAACGGCCCTCTTCACCTACATTCCTTCAATGCTGAGTTGAACTGGATGACCGATTAGCTGTTGGCGATGAGCCCATAACCCTGTTGGCAGTGGTGATAAAAGCAAAGCATATTTTGCTTCCCTTAAATAAAGCTAAGACTAATCTAAATAAAATTCATGCTTTATTTAGTAAATTAAAATAAAAGAGCGAACACTGTAGCCTTTAAATTTAAAATCATTAAGTGAAAGAAAAACTAGCATAATGCTAACTCATAATCACACAAGAGAACAAGAACATTCGCCGATACCGGCGGACATATATATAATACTCGGCCAACCCGCCGATCTTGACGTCATCGGCCAATCAGCGGCAACCACGTTAGCTTACCGCCGATTGATCTCCCATCAAAATTTGCATGTGGAAAACTAAAAGCCAACAGGCCTTGCCCATGCGCACATCGATCTATTTTCACTTCAAAAAACATCCCAGAATTGCACAAACTCAGCATCATGCACAACCTCAGCATTTGTGCACTGGATTGGCTTTGCCCATGTACACATCAATCTATTTTCATTAAAAAAAATCAGAGAATTGCACAAACTCGGCATTGCGCACTGCATTGGCTTTGCCCATGTACACATCGATCTATATGTTTACTTAAAAAAACATCAGAGAATTGTACAAATTCGGCATCGCACACAACCTCGGCATTGAGCACTGCATTGGCTTTGTCCATGTACACATCGATCTATTTCACTTAAAAAAAACATCAGAGAATTGCATAGACTCAGCAATGTGCGCAGCATCGGCTTTGCCGATGTACACATTGACCAATTTTCACTTCAATTGAAAAAACATCAGAGAATTGCACAAACTCGGCATCGCGCACAACCTAGGCGTTGCGCACTGCATTCGCTTTGCCCATGTACACATTGATCTATTTTCACTTAAAAAATCAGAGAATTGCACAAACTGGGCACCGCGCACAACCTCTATTGCGCACTACATTGGCTTTACCTATGTACACATCAATCTATTTTCACTGAGAAAAACATTAGAGAATTGCACAATCTAGGCATTGCACACTGCATTGGCTTTGCCTATGTACATATTGATCTATTTTCACTTAAAAAAAAATCAGAGAATTGCACAAACTCGGCATTGGCACTGCATTGGCTTCGCCCATGTACCTATCGATCTATTTTCACTTAAAAAACATCAGGGAATTGCACAACCTCAGCTTTTCCAATCTTCTAGGATCGAGCCAAAAAGAAATACAAAATATTAAAAATAAGCAACTTTAAAATGAACCATACAAGAAAATTTTTTTCACTTACCATTTTCAAGAAAAATTTAAAATCGTTTTTGAGGGGTTTTATATATGTATATTGAATTTATCTCAGAGGGGAAACCCTTTTGGATCCCCCCTCATCTTTAAATAAATTTACTAATGTTATATACTTCGTTTCGTAATATATGCAGAAAAAAAGCAAAATCCCACAGGAGGAAAAATACTCAATTAAAAAAAAAGAACCACCACATAAGAACATTCAAACCGCAACAGAATTAATTGCTCAAATTAGCAAGTCAAAATTTTTTAAAAAAATTAAAGCTTTCAGATTCTACATTACGCCTAAAGGTTTTTTTAACGTTTTGTGTGTTACCTTTCTTTATCAAATATAATGTTCTTTACACTTAAACCATACAATGCAGTTGAACAGCAATATCACAAAATAATTTTAAAATGAGCATATCTTTAGAATTTCTGATGCACAATTTTGCGCTTTGCACGTAAAAATGTTTCCCCCTTCCCCCACGTACTGTGTTGCCGTTGTTCGCTTTGAAATCTTTGAGTTTGTTAATAATTAGTTTTTTAAAAATTTTTAATAAAAATTCATTCAAGTTTACAAATTCAATCAGATAATAAAAAAAAAAATTCAAAATTCCAAGTTTGGGCTTCCAGATGCCCATATTAGTTTGGAAATGTATATTATTCAAAATTTTATGGTTCTAGGTACCGTTGTTTTATCACAATGTGAGAAACATTTATGCAGATTTTTCAATATTTATTTTCTTTAACCGCTTGTCTGATTATCCCGGGTTAGTATATGTTGCAGTTAATTATTATCCCGAGAAAACTCGGGCGAAGCAGAATTTGTTAGTACAATTTCTTTTATCACGGTTTTACTCGGTCTGGAGGAAATGAAAGGAAATATTCAGCTTTGATTGGCAGTTTGCTAAATTTTGTTGGTTGCGCGGTTTTTTTGGAGGGACTGACCGCATGTTTCCCTATTGTATAGTATACGTTGGCTTGTGGATTAGTAATGTATAAAGAAGGATGCATGCATTGGAAAAAAATAAAATAATGGCGATGATGGAAGATAGCGAAAGCGATGATTTTTTAGATAGTGATTATGAAGAGGCGGGGGAAAAAAATTAAAAAAAAATCAAATCCAATGGAGACAGTGTACTCTGTGCTCTCCGTGAAAGAGATTCCATCGGTAAGCCAGTTAGAAAAGAGACCAGATACCAGTGTAGAACGTCAGGTATCACTCTTTGTGTTGTCCCTTATTTCAAAAACTATCATACAAACACTAATATTTAACTTTTTTTCATTTGCCCGAGATAACTTGGGGGATAGTAAACTAATATTAAAAATAAATGCTTTTACACCTTCAAAAAATTAAAAATTCAACTTAAAACCTACATAATTGCGAAAAGTTTCAGACAGCATATTTCAACGAAAATATCTATTTTGACCATTATTGAATGCAATTTAACGATGTTTTTGCATGATATCTGTATGTAAACACAGAATAAAAGACTCGTTTCCTCCAAAAAAATTATAAAACTGCTTTAAAATTAATTCTGAAGAGAATTTTTCGTGGCGTCTGTACGATCGTATGTACATACCTACGTATCTCGCATAACTCAAAAACAGTAGCCTCAGAACGTTGGAAATTTTGTATATAGGACTGCTATGACATGTAGATGTGCACCTCGTATTTTGGTTTCAATCGGCCGCGCCAAACGTATATAAATATATTTATAAATATATCCACTCTGTTACCTGGCTCAGTGCTCTCAGTTTCTTTACTCTTGTATGTTTGTAAATTGTACATTTTTTGCTTTAAAAATGATTGAATTATGTTGTTTTTATCTTCCGGTTAAGGTTTCTATGCCTTTAGTAAATCTGTATGCAATATTTTAGAATTCTCAACAGTTTTAAAGTTGTTTAAGTGCCACTAAGCCTTTTTTTATGGCGGCCATTGATTGTTTACATTTGAAACAGCAGACTAGTGGATTTGTTGCCAATCTAGAGAAACTTAGCTTCGCAACAACAAAGATAACACCTTCATTTATTATTGTCAATTAAATCACGCTTAATCCTTTCTGGAATTTTTTTGAGGAAATAAGTGTTTAAGATTTACTTTGTAATTTTTAATATAGATATTTTGAGTTTTTATGTATTTTTGCCTTCTCGTGAAGTGAGAACTGAATTAATTGAATGAGAAATTCTCAATCGTCTGTGAAAAACTGTTTCTTTTGTTTTGTTTGCTTAATTTCTTTTATACATCATTCTAGCTTTATTATAGTATTTGAATAGAACATGTGGCAATGATTAGATAATTCTATTCTTTAAATGATATAAATTTTTGTGCATTATAAGTTATAATATGAACGAAATATAATACTGTTAAGTGAATCTAGCGCAAGAGTGTCGCTATGGTAAACAAGTACTAGAGTGAATTTTAAAGAATGCATTTATTCTATTGTGGTTTATGCGCTGTCAGCGAAGTAGATTTAATTCAATCCAATAAGTTTAAATGAAATGCAAGAAAAAATGCGTATAATTTAATATTCCGTACAAAGAAGTCATGTGGTGTACACATCAGATTTTTATTTATGATATCATTAAACAAAATGTCTTTAGTTTTTATTTGCAAATTATATGTTTAAAAAATTGTGCAGGATCCTGTGCTGTTTACCGGGACTCTGAGAACAAATCTGGATCCTTTTGGATCTTATTCTGATGATGCCTTGTGGTTGGCCCTCGATCAAGCCCATTTAAAGAACTTTGTGTCATCCTTGGACAAGGGATTAGAACATGAAGTCGCTGAAGGAGGAGAAAATTTAAGGCATGTGACATTTCGTTGTCTTTTACTGGTCATTTTGATAGTTAAATATAGTATTGAATTTTAGATAATCTTATTTTTTATAGCAGTAGCATAATTTTACTTTTAATTTTTAAATGCATAGGCAGTAAAGAATGTGTGCCACTTTGAGTTTAATATGATAAAAATTGAATCTTAGATTTTTTTTAAATAAATATGAATTTGCAATGAATCCATAGATTTTTTAAAAATAAATATGAATTTGCAATGCATCCATCACTCCACTATAAGGAATAAGACTATTTCTCATTATTTTATTCGAAATATAGAGAATGGTGAAAGATTTATTAATTTGGAATTTAAATTAGTATTTTTTTTAAATCCTTTTACCTCTTTATTTCTTTTTATGAAATTTTAATGAAGCAGGCAACAAATTATACTTTTTTACATACACCAGTTTACACTTTAATTATCCTAAAATATTATGGGTGAAAAAGTGGTTAAAATGATAAATGATATCAATCTTATTCAATAAGTAAAATATTTGATGCAGTTTTAAATTCTGTTATTGTTGCACTGATTAAGATTAAGCAATATGACTGTTTAGTTTTAATCACACAATTACTAAACATCAAGTGCTATCTTATATGCTTCTCACAAAGTATATGGGATCTACATTATCAAAATTAGTGGAAAGAATTTACTATGCTGTAGTTTTATGCAGTGAATACTGCATATATTCATGTTTTTTTACCTTATGTTATTTCTTTTCAAGAAAATCAATTTTTTCTTATAGTACATATTTTTTTAATGAATTCTTTCAAAGTGCTCCAGTTTCTGCTTTGTAGTCTGGTTTACTTAAAACAGTTGAAAACAAGGAATTCTTGTTTGCAAGAAGCATTGTATCCTGCAAATATTACTGGGCTTGAAAATAAATTCTCCAGTTTTTTGTATTTTTGCAATAGATAAGTACATTTTTTTGGTATGAAACAGCAATGAATGTCTTTTCCCTGATTTAATTTTAAAATACATTACCCTCTGTTAACTGTATCTTAGTAAGTTTTTTTCGCTGCCATTTATTGCTTGTTTTTATGGCAGAAATCAGTTTTCTTGTGCCAGTACTAATGTATTTATAGCTAGTAATTTTAGTTATTTTGACCAAAACTTACCTGTTATTGTCTCAGTTGATTTGGCTTTAGTAAAGCAAAGTTGTGAAATGAAGCAAAAACTTTAAAGAAGTGAAACCAAAATTACTCTGATGAATAAGATGCTAGTAATGTATGATCATTCTGACATGGATGATTCTCACTGTTTTTTATCTCAATCCTTCTCGCATATTTTGAATGAATTGTACAGTTTTTGAAATCATGTCCCCCTTTTACTATTTTCATGATTTTTAATTTTCATTTTTCAATAAAAATTGAACAGAACTAGATAAAATTTATCAAATTTTTTCAAATATTTTGGTAGATATTACTGGGATAAATTTTTAAATTGTTTTAATTAATTCAGGTTAGTGGCCTGTTTTTATTGGCCAGATTTATAGGTCAGGTTAAAATTTTGGCCATCATGCCTTTACGTCCTCGTCCCTAAATTTTTCCAGTAAAGAGTTATTTTACCATTTCAGAGTTTATTATTCTGATTATCTTTATTTTCTAATCATAACTGGCTGAAAAGGAGTGGAAGTAAGGAAACAAAATACTTTAAATTTTGCCCAGTTTTGCATTACTAAAAAAAATCCTCTGGTGGTAGTGTTGTAAATCGGTAAGTATTCCCTTTCACATACTAGCTGAAATCAAGTGGAAATACAACTTCTATATTATGTCTTTAAAGGTATTAGCTTTTAAAACTTCCCTTAGATAAATTAACAATGGTTATAATTTATATAATAAAATTTTCTCTTACATATCATATAGTTGTGTTTTCTTTCATTAGCTAAATCCATGTTATCTCTCATGTACCATTCTATTCTAAAAATACGTACAGTCAAAAGTCGTTAATCCGGGCTCGTTGGGACTTCGGCGATTCCAGATTATTGATTTTTGTGGATTATAGATCATCAGTTTAATCTGGTAAGATGGCATACAGAAATTAAAAAATTAAAAATATGAAACCGTAATTGATGAAATAGAGAACAATTATGATCTAAAGGGTATCAAAATTTACAAAGAAAAAAAGCTTAATATTTATTTGTTTACTTTATTAAACATTTCTTTCAATGTAAGTTGTTTAAGTTGCTTCGTTTTTTATGTGATAATACTTTCTCTTTAATTCTATAAACAGACATAATTTCTTGTTCAGTTACAAAGTTCCACTGTTCAAGTCCTATAATTGCTGTGTCGAGAATACTGACTAATTTGTCAATCGAAATTCTTTTGCTTTCGAAGTCGCTATCGGAAGCGAATTATAATGACAAGGAATTTGATTTAAATCATATCAAAAACGGAGTACATCGAGATGAAATATTACATTTAGTAATGAATTGTAAGCCAAATAAAATAAAAACATCTGCCCTGAAGATAAGAATAGTGCTGACAGATCAACTTCCAGTTCATTACGCGCTGCGACATTCACCCCCCCCCCCCACACAGAGCAGCATGAAATTGATAAACAGATTTTGGAATGGTTAGATAAACAAATCTATTATCCTTTATCCATTTTTTGCAGGAATTCCACTTTTTGTTTAATGGATTTCGAAACATACTTTCGCTTTGTAGATCCTTTACATAGTAGTAAATATATATCAGAAATTCTATTTGACATAATCGAAAGTTCAAGCTTACTTTTAAAAAATTGCTCTAACAGTCTTCAAAAAATAATAAGCCGGATCCAATTCGAAGATAAAGGAACAACGCAATCTGCAACATTAATTGAATTAGATAATTTTAGCGTAGCTTATACCGTCCGTTATACATTGAATGGGCATTCGTAAACATATTTTGTGCATGCACACACGCATATTCGCAGCCGTAAAGATCTGACCAGGGTTCGTAGCGGTCCTTATAAGTGCTTATAAGTCCTTATATTTGAAAATAAAATATAAAAGCCCTTATAGGTGCTTACGTTTTCTTTAAAGCCCTTATCCTTTTGTTTTTAGTGCTTATTTTTTGCTTTTAGTGCTTTTTTTTTAATGAATGCGCTATTTTTCCCCATACCAAAGCCAAAACTAAATAAACAACTTTTCTTTTTAATAAGGAATGTCAGATGGTGAATCATACTCCCGGAAATAGCTTTTCCCCTTTCTCTGCATTAACATAACCTTTGGTGGGCACGAAGAGTACAGAAAGGTGCCTGTCGTTCTATTGGTCAATGAAATGCGAAAGCAGTAGAAAATTCCGGTACATTCAGGCATTCTTTTCCTCCCACCCAAATACTATATTTATTTCCTCCCACCCAAATAATAAACATAAACACATGTTTGAATTTCTATCAAGATCTTAATAATTTGAATTCTCGTTCTACTTGGTCAGTTCATATTCGTGTTTATTATGATCTTTATGCTTATATTATCAGCATATGTATGAATATTTATAATAACATAGTTGCAGTAACTGCTGAAGTATAGTAAACTTTCAAAAATGGTTGTGTTTTAACACAGATTAGCTTTCTAAGGAATAATATTCGGAATGGCTTAAATAAAGGGAAAGTAATCGAATAGTCAAAATAATTTTGTTTTTTTAGCCAATACATTATACAGTATGAAGACTGGAAGGTTCTCCCCTTTCTCCGCAAAATCTCGAATATTGAAACTATTATAGTTCGCTGCAAAACAAGAAACGGACCTTTTTTTTTTTCTTTGTCACTTTCCAATCTGAATTGAATAGGACTAGAAGTTCTGCGGTCTATCAACCCAAGCGAAGAATGATTCTATTCCAGAATTTTAACGCCATCTGTTGAAAATTAGAATGAAAAACACCCCAGTTATTTAGTTCTTTATTCTCCCAATACCGGCAGCTGTTGATTCCGATTGCGTAATATCACGTAGGGAAGAATTACAGCGCATGTATTGTGCAATAACGTTTGCAATATTTTGCAGAGATAATTAATTTTGATGTTCTGTCCTAGATTTGTTTATGAACACTTAAAAGAGTTTTACTGTGCTTGCTAAGCAGAATATTTTTCAGTTCCATTGGTTTATTTTTATATGATGCGCATATCGAAATGTCAAAAGCATTTATTTAGCAGAAAAATTTAAAGAGCGGCTACAGTCTACCCTCTCGCCGCTCCTCTTTTTCAGGCTACGCTCGACTGTCCGAATATTCGCCAATTTCCAAGTATGCGGGTTAGTTAAGCTTTTACTGTTAAGGGTTGACTGCCTGAAGCAAATTTCTGTCTTCTGATTTCAGAATTGTTCCTGTTTTTTACTTAAATTACTTTGCTTGCAATATCTGTTAAGGGAAAACTGATATACAATGAAAATTATTTAAATATCAATATGAGTGGAAACATAAATTGTATTTATTATTAGATTCCAAGCGAATACAATAAATATGCCTTATTATTATTTATTTTCTCTATTTTGAACTGAAATTTCATCATTAAATCTTGTAATATAGTTTAGTTCTGCAAAGTTTTTTTTTCCTCTCATTGTAAACTAGTTCTGTAAATTGAACTATATTTTAAAATATTAAAAAAAAAAAAAAAAAGTAATTATATTCCATGGTTGAGGTTATGCTTATTCTCTCTTAATAAATACTGCATTTCTCATGTTTTAAATTACAAGTCTAATTTTTAAGGTTATGCAGTTGTGTATAATGTAATTAGACAGATGCTTATTTTTTTCTTAAAATGTGCTTGAAAAGTGCTTATAGGCACTTATTTTTTTAACTAAAATGTGGCTATGAACCCTGTCTTACGCACATGCGTCAACGCGACGCATGCGCAGAAAGTTTGTAGCTTTGAGGTCCGAATTAATGACTTTTGACTGTATTATATTCTGGAGCATGTTGTAAGCTTTTTAAAATAACTACAATATGGCTATTGATGATAGTTTTATCATGATAAACTGGTTGCTTAGGTTGAGA